CAATTCTTTCTTTCTGTGGAGTTCTGGGCACATTCTATCAAAATGTGATAAACATCACCGCATTGCAAGTTGAACAATTAGGTGAGTTATTTTTTCGAATTAAGTATAACTACTTAAGAGGATAGAGTAAGTCAGCTCAAATTCTAATTTCGCCCCCACTTCCCCGCGCGTCGTATGCTATGTACCGATGTTTGTAATCACTAATACTGTAAGTAGAAAGGTCGTTAGACACTTATTTCATTAGGTTTATCATATTTATGCCTGTTTCTTAACGTCAAGCCAGCCGCTTCTTATTTTTATCACGGTTATTTCCCATTTTAATTTTACGTCGTACTGTTGCGTAATGTATATTCTGATCGTAAGCGACACAACTTCTCCCTTCAAAAGCCTAAGCGATACTAACGGCGCGACAGGAATCAAGCTCAAGACGCCGATAGTTTGGGTAATTTCTTTTTACAGTGAAAATAATGGTATTTTAAAAAAAGTAAATAACATAAGCACTGCTTTATAGTTAGTTCAGTTAGTATGCAAAGTTTCATGATCTTATTTAAAGTATTTTATGAATAACAGCGGTTTATTGTTTATTTTGGAGGTAACTTTGGATTTTTTTTCTATCGAGAAAATTTTACGAAATCGTGTTTTCGTCTAACATAATCATTAACATTAATCCTCAACTTTACCATATATTTATTTCAAAATTAATGCTGCAATATTTTCGGCATAACGAAGGATCTTGCTAAGCCATTTGACATTATATTTCCCCTTAATATTATAACATAAAGAAGTACATTATAAGAGTGCATAGGATATAGCTGCTGCAGTCACAGGATATCTGAGCAATTCCAAAAAAGACCGCAGTCACAGTTTTTTTTTACTTATTAAACAGTTGTCGTGCTTTAGTTACCAATAGGTCTATTATATTCTATATAAATTGTACTTTTTTTGAAGTAGTATACGTGGTAGAGCCATTCTACAGCTATATTAGTATAGTTATAGCACGAATGGGTCGGCTCGACCGGAGAAGGAGAACGCTGTCACGGAATACCAGCGTAAAATAGTAGCTTAATGCTGCTGTGTTTCGTACGGTAAGTGTAGAGAACCGGGGACCCTTTTTACTGGAATAGAGGTATTTCATCTTAGTCCTCACGGGTGACAACGCATATCTGCGTTTTGATTCGGATAGATATAGATGACTATGGGCCACAGAATCCACTTAGCGTCAGGTGGACTGTGTGCTCGTTTGTCACTCTATCCTATAAAACAGTAAAATTGAAGTATTGGTTTTCCTTCGCTTCAAGACAAAAGAATCTACGGTGTTCGGTTCACATAACATACGAAGCACATCAGCATTATGCTGCTATTATATGCTATCGGCGAAATTACTGAGGCGAACCACACGTGATGTGACCATAATCGTAACTGCGTGACTTTATGACTCTACTATGTAACGCTCTATCACCTATTATTGCATAAAACCACTAAAAATAGCAAAAAAAAAAGAACAGTAACTGCAGGGTATATATACCAATTGAGAAGAATATCATTTTGAATCGGTTGCAGATTAAAAATATAACATTAGACAACTACTGCTCTTTATTTCATACTATTCAAACCGGCTTCGCACGGGTGATTTTTTTTTATAGGATAGGGTGACAAACGAGCACACAGTCCACCTGATGGTAAGTGGTTGCTGCGGCCCATAGACATCTACATCTATTCTCGATTGAGAATCAAAATGCAGATGCGTTGTCACCCGTGAGGACTAAGATGGAATGCCTCGTTTCCAGTAAAAAGGGTCTCCGGTTCTCTACAGTCGCCATACGAAACATCAGCATTAAGCTACTATTTTACGCTGGTATTCTGTGAGAGCGTGGTGCTTCCCCGGTTGGGTCGACCCATTCGTGCTAAAACTATACTGCTAATATAACTGTCCGGCTCCAATTGTGAATCTCAAGAATCCAGGGTCTCTCTTAGGGTCAATATTAATCCATTCAAACGCACACAAAAAAAATCATCAAAATCGTTCGTGACTTTTTCGAGTCTAACGCACAGCAATTGATTTTTTATATATAGCGGTGTGATATTTTTATTACAACGTAAGTAACTTACTAATAAACCATTCGAATGTAGGCACTGAATTACCCTCGCACATTTACACGCGGCCCGATAGTAAAATCTGTGACAGCGCGAAGAATACATCGCTTTACGTTCCGAACATATGTGGAGCGGGGGCCGTCAAATTGATAACTTGATAACGCCCGACCCTCGGGAGCGCGATTCCATTCCACGCGATCCGACAATCCCGCAATCCCGCGCCCGCAATCCTTGCCCCGGGGCTTATCCCCCGCGATACGTCGCTCAAAAAAATCGCGGAACGACCACTGTTTTAGTGTCGGACGAGCGACGTTTATTATATTATGTAAATCGTCATTTCGCGTCAAATGAAATGATAACAAGTTGGAGAGAAACCACCCCATGCACTTGTTTTTCTGCTCGAGGTGTGACCCTACTTTCATAATGAACGCGTTGGTCCCGATTCCCTTCTAAACGTTCACCGTCCTATTTAAATTCCAGCTATGTTAAATATACTCTGTACGGTTTTATTTATTATATACTCGTATTTTTCATACAATAAAGACGTAACTTGACGTTATCTTAAAATTTAAAAGTGATTAATTATTTAGAGAGTAGACTCAACTCAGAAGAAATTCGGCAGAAAGTGCCCTACCATCTAGGTACACAAACTAGTGTAAGTTATGTGATGTGATATCAATTCTTGGGAATTTACAGGCTGGCAATCTGACCGTCTGACGGCTCGGTACAGCACTAACTAGACATGTATCAATCATTAATTTCTCGTGACCGAATCATTCCAGTACGTTTCATTACGCGTACCGGTACATTAGGATCGATCATTCAAATGGATCATTTCGGGCTCCAGTACTCTACACTAAAAACAATTCATACAGATCATTCAGGATTCGGTCGGTTTTCGACTCATTCACAATTCATACCAATCACGAGTTAAAAGGTTCCGTCAATTGTTTTTGATTGGTTGTACCGGAAAATTCAAAAACAGATGAATGAACCATAAATACTTTTAAGTGTACCAGCTCAAACGAACTAATAATTCATGATTGACACATGTCTAGTACCAACAGTGGCATTTGGTCGTGTCGCTGCGTGCTGTGAGTTCGTTCGAAGTGTTTGTATGGTCTACAAATTATTATATCGGGTATGTATGTTTGAGAAATTTCTGGAGGGATATCGTTATTAAAAAAGCAAGTTTTTAGCGTGGTAGAGCCACGCTGCAGCCGCAGCTGCATATTATGGTTGCAGCAAGAATGGATCAGTGCGACCGGTGAAGGACCACGCTCTGTGTTCGTTGTCACCCTGTATTCCTCAAAAAAATTATCTTGACCTTAGAATTTATAACGTTCCTTTCAGAACCAATTCAGATCAATAGACACGAAAGATAAACAAATTATTGTTACGACTCTGGATGTCTGTTTAAGAAGTTCCTATATTCGTGGGAAACTTTAATTAAAAAACGAAGAGAATCTCTAGAACTCATTCGGTGTCATGTAGCGTTCCTTAGAACGTTTACACTCCGAATTCGAATACGACTAAACACAGATCTAGAAAACTCGGACAGAGTCTAGACAAGTTTACGATGTGTCATTATATTGTATCATTTAATTTTTGCGTATATTTGATCATTGTGAAACAAGGATAAATTCATAGTCTGTACTGTTTTAAAGAAAAGAAATATTATAATCATAGACAAATTTAAAAACCTGTATTTTAAATGACCTTATAAAAGAGTTCGATTGGAATATTTCACTAACATAGTCTATGGTGACTTGAAAGTTCGAAACCCTTAGCAACGCGACGGTTTCAAAGAGGCCCGCAGGCAAATTCACACCCCAATTAGCGACGGCAAGGGGCGGAGTCCCGGAGTCTTTGCCTCCCTGGCCCCTTAGGGCCCCAAACGGCGGATGGCATAAATGAGCCTGGCAGTTTAGTTTTTTATACTAGGGTTACAACGTACTCAAGTGTTGTTCGACATACCTTCTATATTATTGTCAAACACAATAAAATTATAAGCGAAGTATTAGCTAAAAAGCGGGTATAAATATTTAAGTTTTTATTCATAACACACACATTATGGTGGCAGTAAATTGCACGCAATTGTAGGCAAAACTTTTTTTTTGTCCATAAATTATATTTTAAAAATATTGTAAGTAATTTATATATAAATTTTTTGCTAATTTTACTTTTTTGAGCATATAAAATAAGTTTTTCATTTAAAGTTAAGTCTGTTTATATTTTTCAATAATGTAGTGTAATAACCTCCGACTGTGTATATATAATGTTTGCTATCTAGTTGTTCGAGCTGCCACGGTTCCATCTTTAGTTTTCCTGTTTCAAAATTTTTTATAGCATGAGGGTGATAAACAAGTTACTGATAAAATGCAATGGCCCATCCATAGGCATCCTCATTTACCCTCGATTAATGATCGAAATGCAGAAGCGTTGTCACACCTGGGGACCAAAATGGAATACCTCGTTTCCAGTAGAAAGGGTCGCCGGTTTTCTACACTCACCAAACGATACAAAGCAGCATTAAGCAGCTATTTGACGGTGGCGTTCTGTGAGAGCGTGGTCCTGCCCCGGTCGAACCGAACCATTCCTGCTACAACCATAATATAGCTGTAGCGTGGCTCTACCACGTAAAAATAATATAAGTAACTTTAATTAAAAATTACTAATTAAAATTCTTAAAATTCTTTTATTATACTTTAATACTTGTATATATGTTTTTCTGGTCCACGTCCGATTTTTCAATCAGAAATTGTTCATGTTAATGAAAAGTTATTTCATAATTTTAACATCACAACTTTCCATCCAAATGTTCTCTCTCTACCACAGGTTTAAAGTTACATCAGTAGGAATTGTGAACAACTCCGGCAAGCTCTCAACTTATATAATATATGCGTATGACACGCGTCACACGAGCTAGCAAAGAGCAAGCCTCCGTTAATATGAATGCCGGCTTTATACAAAGGTAGGTAGGTAACTGTTCGCGACGCTATCGCTGAAACTCCGTGTCACAGCTATGAACGAGCAGCGAAAGGATTTGAAACGATCCGTCGTATTGCATGTGCCGTGTGACCTAAATCGAAATGTCTAAAACATAGGTAAGTACTCTTGTAAGGAACTACGTGACGGGATGTTTTGATTGAATTGGTTTTTCTGCAGATTATTAATTTTACGCAATTAGTTTTATGCTGGAGCTATAGTATATATGGTTGTAATGTAACAGGAATGGGCCGGCGCGACCGGGGTAGGACCACGCTCTCACAGAATGCCAGCGTAAAATATGAGTACATAGCAGTTTAATGCTGCTGCATTTCGTATGGAGAGTGTAAAGAACCGGAGACCATTTTTACTAAAAAAGAGGTATTCCATCTTAGTGTTTCATTCAATCATCTCAGGTTGTCACTCAACTTTTGATTCTTTATCAAGAATACATGTAGATGTCTATAGCCCCGGCACCACTTACCATCAATGGGATTGTTTGCTTGTTTGTCATTCTCATTCTATAAAAATGTTAATATGTTGTTTGAAGTTGGTAGCACCATATTTAAGTGCACATAGCATTTGGAACAAAAGTTTATGCGTCCCTTGTACTCTCCGTCTCCAACAATCAAAAGGATATGTTATGGATGTCATATTAATTTGAGCATAATACGAAAAAAAAAATATTAAGTGTTCCAAATTTAAATTAAAATGTTTAAAAAAAAAAACGTCGAAGGCGATTTTCATTCGGCAGCGGGCAGCCGTCGGCACGTTCGCCATTTACGTCGCATTTTTACGATGTAGCCGATAACGTTTACGAGGCGCGTTGAGTGGCGTCGCCGTGGCTCGCCCCGACTGATTGCATGCGAGGGTAGCAAGTAGATAGTGACTCGATTTGAATATAATTTAAATATCGACATATTTTTACTGAAAAATTAATGTCTATCTAACGAATTGCATAAATACTAATTTTTTCACACCATTGCGTTCAATGGGATCTCGAGAGAAGTGTTTGGTAGTGAAGTGTTAATAGCCGAAATGGAAGAAGTAGTAAAATTAACCAAGTGAGGTTATAACGCATACATTTAATATAATAGCAAAGTGAATATGATATAATTTGGATTTAATTTGAATACTGATAGTCGATAAAGGAAATTCAATAAAGAAATATTAAGTTTTTAAAAATTACATAAAGTAGGCACGCAGCTAGACACATTTTCACTTCATTTACTTTGGAAGCTTTTTGTCAAACAAAACAACGATACAAAAATATATTATGACTTCTAATTATTTTTGTGTATTTTATTCTATATTTAAAATTTTCATTATAAAGAAACGCAAGTATAAAAAAATCACATTTATTATATCCATAAAACTTAAGAATAATAATTTAAGCATTAGATATTTATAATATTTTTAAATTTATTAATTGTCGTGGTAGAGGTACAGTAATAGTAAGTCAGTATTTTTCTTTAGCGGCTACTGGATTTTTATAATATTTGTTGGATAAGATGAGTAAATCTGCATAAAAGTAAAATAATATATTACTTGTATAAATTGTCTTATTAAATAAATTGATGATATTATATTTTTGGCCAAATAAATAAAATAAATTATAGAAGAAAATAATATACTTACAACCTCTTTGTTAAAACTCAAGTAACTTGAAACCAACAAACTTCAAGGAATGTTATATTACGCATAATTTAAAAAAAATAATGTTGCTTTTAGTAACGATCTTTTTCTTCTTTATCTTCTTTATCAGACTATTTTTCATTCACGTTTAGATGTTTTCATCAATGCGCTTATTATCATAAGTAGAAATAGTGAGAGCAGAGCCGGATGCTTGGCAGTGATGCAACAGAAGTGTCATATCGGAAGCAGAAACGGAAACAGATGTTAAAAATATTTTTTTGCAGAAACGGAAACAGAAACGGATGCGGAAACGGAAATAATACTTATTAAAAAATTACAAATAAAACTTTTAATTTACATTCAAAATTAAGTAGCGGTAAGTTATATTTTATGAAAAGTAGAAGAATGAAAATACAATTAATCTATTTATATGGATGCGTCGTTGAGTTCCGTTCAAACTTCCGTTATAAAACTTGCGGAAACAGAAGCGGAAACGGATGTTATAAACCATGCAGAACTGCCGCAGTTGCGGAAACAGAAACAGAGTTCTGTTGCATCACTAATGCTTGGCCTAGCGCCGATTTGAGGTTAGGCATATTCCATAATGGATATACCTCTATTTATTGGTGGCCATAGCATCATTTCTTTGCCTATAATGTAGTGTTTGAGTTATTTCAATGTTACAGTTTTAAAGTTAATTTAAATTTTAAGCATTGTTACCCTTTACGAAAAAATGAAGTTTTATTATAATTGATAAAATTAGGCGTTATTTTGCGGAAATCCATTATAATAAATATAATAATATTTACGTTGCTAATAAGTTGCAATGATGTGTCTTACCTAGACTGAAGAGCACCTCCACTAAGTAATGTTGCTGGGATTAGTGGTGACGGAATTAGTGCACGCAATTTAGGGGGGGCGGGAGGTGCTCTTCAATCTAGGTAAGACACATCATTGTATTTAATTGAGCGGATGGTTGCAACGTAAATATTAATATCTTTATGAAGTTTTATAATCACTCACCTCACGACATAATCCATTAACCATATTTACTAAATTGAAAATAAAGGCGATCAATCGACTTAATAGACTTTAATTTAACGTTACTATTAAGAGATTAAAAAAATGAAAATAAAAATATTAAGGTGTCGATATTATTTTAAAAAGCTAATATCCCGTCTCTAACGGGGTCGTGTATCCGTGACACGTCGTAGAGTCGTCGACATCGCGCCGTATTTCATGCGCCCCGCCGCGCCGCCGAGCCCGCTCTCGAAATACACACGGCTGGTGTTGCCATACCCGATTTGTGTTCCGGATTTTTTTTAAATAATATATGTCAACTTTCAGGTTGATTGCAAACGTGCGGTTTTTCGTTTGCATGTTCGATAAAAACAATAATGTTTATAAATGTATTCATTAGCTCAAAAGTTCGCAATTCAACAGATATTAGTGTAGATTGATAACAAGTAGAAATATTGTATAGCTCAGCGAATCGAGGTTCATAATTTAAATTCATCAAGTTATATAAAGCTTTTCCGCAACATGTTGTCTATGGCGAATGTCTTAAAAGCAATTCATAGACTAAAGAACAATAATTTGTTACCGTTACAGCCTATCAATGTTCACTGCTGAACGTAGGCCTTCCCCACAGATTGCCTCATACGCATGATGTTTGCCACAGTTGCCACGCTACTCAAGAGAGTTGGCAGCCACAGTTTTCTATTATTAGTCATTACAACGCAGACGCTGCTGCCATCTCCTTATTGGTTTCCCTCTATCGTCTCTTACGACACCCACGGGATGATATGGGCTAGTGGATATCCTTACACCGCTTTGTAAAATTTAAAAAAAATTTTAAAATATGCCATCGATAAAAAAATTGTAGCGGAGATACCACTATCAAGATTAATTAAATATTGTTAAGTTTCCCTAAAACTATATATTTGTTTTATATATATTATAGGTTTTTAATATGCAACGAAAATACTGAGATATAGTACTGGCAGCCCCACATAAGAGTAATAAGCGGGCTTTGGGGAAATAAAACATATGGAGTTAGAAGCCCTCCGAATTTAAAAATGTCAAACCCGGTTGCAGAAGCCTCTTGTTAAGGTTTTCGTGTTAGGAGTTATTTTACTACTACTACGATATTTTTAGCAGACTTCAAAAAAAAGCTGTATGATCTCAATACAAGTGTATTTTTTGGGTGACAAACGAGCACACAGTCCACCTGATGATAAATGGATGCTGTGGCCCATAGACATCTATATTTATCCTCAATTAAGAATTAAAACGCAGATGCGTTGTCACCCCTGAGGACTAATTGGAATGCCTCGTTTCCAGTAAAAAAGGGTTTCCGGATCTCTACACTCACCATACGAAACACTCAAAAGTGTCCAAAATGAGACTTTTTTTTTTAAAGTTTTATGTGGTAGAGCCATTTTGCTCAACCTGGGAAGGATCACGCTCTTACGGAATACCAGCGTAAATTTGTAGCCGTGTTTCGTATGGTGAGCGTAGAGAATCGAAGACCCTTTTTACTGGAAACGAGGAATTCCATCTTAGTCCTCACGGGTGACAACGCATCTGCATTATAACTAGGAGGATAGATGTAGATGTCTATAGACCACAGTATGCACTTACTATCAGGTGGAATGTGTGCTCGGTTGTCATCTTTATCTTATAAAAAAATGTTATAGTCAACTTCAAAGAATTTAAAAGAATAAAACAATTTTCGCATAACACCTTCACAAGTCAAGTCTTTAACTCTATATATATAAACAAATAAAATTTTAATTCACTAGGATCGAGGTTATTGTGTCGTGATTAACAAGATGACCCTGCAGTGGCAGTGTAAGAATATCCACTAACCCATATCATCTCGTAAGTCTCGTAAGAGGTGACAGAAGGACAAAATCAGAAGATGGACAGCGACATCTTCTTAATAACGACTTAAAAATAAAAAATGCGGTCGCCAGCCCGCTTGGCAAGTATGACCAATATCCCCTTTATGTGGCAAGCAACGGAGGAGGCCTGTCCAGCAGTGGACTTTAATAGGATGTAACGGTAACGGATTACCAGGATATCTTAATCCACAGCTAGATAAACGCCTTTAAAAAAACACCTAATTATTCCTTTTTTAAACGTTACCTCCCCTCCACACAAGGATTTTCTTCTCTATCGTGGGGGTAGTTTACAAACGTAAATTTCACAATGACAAACATCCAGACCCGAAACAATTACTTGTAAGGCATGCAAGTACATTTTCCGTGCGGAATTCGAACCTGCGGCCCTTAGTAATCCACTACGTCTCAGAGCCGTCAATTGACTAAATCCAATCTCATCACAGAT